AACTGGCATGCAGGCCGCAGTGGGCTGTTTACATCATTGAAAGCTCTAAAAGGTTCACCATCCTTGAACTAGAGCTTCAAGTCCCATTCCTGACAAGTAGCCCACACCTAGAGGTACAAACGTATGTATGAAGGATGGCCTTTCTTTTCCACCCAATCTTCCTATTCCTTCTTCTTCTTCTTCTCCTCTTATTCTTATTGTCAGAGTTTAGGTACATTCTGCTTAAGATACAGAAAACCAAAGGTGGGTGCAAACATGTCGCCATACTGGACTACAGAAAGAAGCAGCAGGACATTTTGAAAGATTTTAATTCCCACCTTGAAATATTATTCCTTGGCTTATAACACTTCACCTACTCCTCCTGGAGGGTTTTGCCTTCAAAAGAAAGCTCCTTTAGCTTAAAGAGTGGAGAGGAACCGTTACTGGAAGTGATAAAAAGTGACTGACGACATTGCAAAATTGAAGATAGCTCAGTCTGCCGTCCTTTTGGGAGTTAGGATATCATGAAACCCATGTTAATTGGTGAAAAACTGCAACACAACACATAGGCCTACTAGAATATCTCCTTTTCTTTCTGGCATCAAGGGATATGAAATCAAAATCACCCCAAGGCATATGGTTTTCAATCCTGTGTGTAAATATCTCCCAAGAAAGGGATCCCATAAATTTCCTCTGTAACTAACCAATCTTCATAACCAGCAAGTTCTTTTCCATCTCACCTATATCTCTGTTCCTACCACTTAAACTCATTTTCTTATGCTCTGCCCTCCAGAGAGAAGAAAAACAGCTGTCTGGTCCTCTTTGTAATAATCCTCATGGGCAGTATTTGCAAACAGTTTCCTTTGGATTAGTCTAAATTCTTCTCATCTGTTTTGTAAGCTCTTGCATTTTCATTGTTTCCCTGTACTGTTGTTTCTCCAGGGAGCCTTTGCACGTCACTGAAATTTTGCATAAGTAGTTTCTTCCCTAGACCCTGCCACAGGGAAAGACTTAAGAGATAAAAACCCAGTTCAAAGTAGATAACCAAGAGATGGCAGAAATTCAGATGCGTGCAACACTCTCCCAGGCTAAAGAAGTAAAACAGATTTTCCATTAAGAAATATGTTTTTTCTGGTTCTTAAAACATCTCTTGGCACCATCTGGGCTCAGCCACAGGCTCATGAGGTGGGTGGATTAGACCTTGCTGTCCTCATCTTCAGCACCGCTCCTCCTCCAGTACAAGGGCCTCTTTTCCCTACTCACTTTCCCTCCTCCCCAAATAGTTCTTCCCTCAGTGTGGTTTGAGATTTGAGGAACAAAGTGAGGCTGAACTTACGTCTCTGAGGGCCAAGTTTGATATTTGTCGGGAAGGAACCCCCCTTGAACTTCTTCCATTTGTTAACTGGGCCTCCTCTGCTTAGTCACAGGTCCTGCCTGCTGGTCTCCTCTAGAAGTAGCCTGGCTTTTCACCCAAGGGGTATTTTAGAGAGAGGTGGTGCTCCAAGCCACCCATGCCACTTGGATGGAGAACGGAAAGCCGAAGGACCCATTTCAGAAATCCCAGGGGGCTTGCTTTGGACACGGAAGCACTAGCCCATTAAACTGACTTCGTGACGAGTGTCTCTGCAGTGCTTCCATCTGACAGTGAAAAGTCCTTTTCTTAATTTGGCCCCAAAGTAAAAGTGGTTTTTTTCTTTTAAACTTGAAATATTGAGAAATCTTGTGTTTTACACGTGAAAATAACCACAGAGGGGGAAGGGATCATCTACACTGAAGGGAATTTCAACATTTCCAAACAGGCTGTCCTTGACACTATTGTATCGAAGTCTATAGAATATTAGACGACTGCCACTTGTCCACCTGGATGAAACATCCTGCAGTGCTGACTGTAGGGGTTCTTGGGTTGTTTTGTCTGGGGGTTTGCTTTTGTTTTTTAATTTGTTTATTGGTACATTTTAGGTATAGATAATGATCACATTCATCATAGGCAATTTGTACCTGTATGTGACATAACTGGATTCTTTTTATTTTCCATTCCCCTATCCTCCCTTCAACCCCTGTTCCCTCCATATTTACAAAAGCTTTGTTTGTGTTTTTTCCTTCTTTTCTCTTTTTTTTTTCTTTTTTGGGGGTTTACTTTGAGTAATGCATTGCATTACCATGACAAAGGTTTCCAAAACTCTGGAAGTTGAAAGATCTCTTTTTAATGGACACTGATTAAACTAACATGGCAACTAATTATATTTGGCAAATAGATGTTGGAAAGCAAATATTCAGACTTCCTGGGCAGGGCATGGTTCTGGCACGTTTCCTGGGTGTGACCCCAGGACATGTCATGTTCTGGAGAGGGATTTGCTCCCTGCCACTTAGAGGCAGCAAGGCTTCCTCCTTTAGGTGCTGTCAGGCTGAGCAAATGAAGCCTGGCCAAACCAAAAGGGAAAGAGTTGGCTTACTTTTGGTTTTTCTGATGAGTCCGTTATTTAAATGGGGAAAGAGATTTCAAAAATGTGGCTCTTATATAGCCACATTAATCCTTTTAATAGATAACGTGAGGGTTCAGCTGAGTATGGATCAAAATATGAGTTGTAAAGGGGCTGAATTTTTTAAAGGTATATTAAGAGTCGTTAAGGTTTTTGGGTGTGTGTGTGTGTGTGTGTGTGTGTACACATCAAAAAAGGGGTTTAGGTGTATCTATCAGTAGTAGAGTATGTATGAGGGCCTGGATTTGATCCCCTTTAGAAATAAGCTTCCACTCTAGGGAAAGTAAATTTTCAGCAGAAAGTTACTGCTATTGAGGCAAATATCTCGTGCCTAATTACATACACACATGAGGAGTAGGGACTGATGCTGGGGAAAGTCCAAAATGCAGAAAGCATACAAATACAGAGTTGCTGTACTTCTCGGGAACATGGATCCCTTTCCCTCTCCATCTCACCAATCCCAGGAGAAAAGACAATTAGAGGAAACACATGGGCCAAATATACAACAGACATATAAATGCTCTAAGGTTGATGTAAAAATGTGTGGAGCTGTGGTTCATAAAAAGGGTGGTGGAGAAAGCTGTAACCAGACCCAGGGACATGAGCCGGCGCTGCGTTTTGCAGAACTGTTCGTTTGGCAGAAGCTTTTGAGGGGCCCCCTAAAAAAAAATGGAAGTAATGGGCTCAAGTTCCTGTACTTGAGGGCAGAGGCTTTGCTTGTGTGTTTTGTTTTAATGAAACAGAAGGGAGGGTTGCTTATCTCTGGCTGATAGATGTGCATTTCAGCATGACAGGAAAGAGGAGGCTCGTTCATAAACAAGCCTGGCCCTTTGGGGTTTCCTGCATTGGAGGGGGTCACTGCTTATGAGTTTATAAAGTTTATGCTCTGAGTTTTCAAAGAAAATCTAGTATTTTACTGGGAGCCCTGATCACTTTTCCCTACCTAGAGCCATTTTTTGAGGGTTGCACTGAGGCCAGTTTTGCTGGAAAGGACTAACTCCAGGGCCTTTTGGACGCTAAATGCAAACCATGTGTGTGACCTGAGGTTTCCTCCCTCTCCACAGCCCTGTACATTTGGCACAGAGAACGGGTTTAGCTGAAATGCAGTGGGGTGTGTAATGAAAAGTGGGATGCTTAATATGTGAGAAGATACAGTGCATTCAGTAGTGAACTTCAGCACGAAAGGCAGATACTTATAGCAGTCCCTGCAGTCCCCCTGTGCACACAGCTAAACCCCTTCCCCAAAAGGTTTTTCCCATAGCAGCCCTTTCCTAGTCCTATTCCTCAAGTAGGTTGTGCTTGGCACATGAGGTTCCCTCTTGCAGCTAGGGCCATATCCAGACTTTACCAGCCCAGTTTTAAACAAACTATTTGGAAAAAGGCCCCAGGGGTTGGGGGTGTGGTTCCTGGCAGACTGCCTGCTTACCATGCCCAAGGCCCTGGGTTCAAGCCTTAGCACTAAAACAAACAAACAAAAAAGGTCCCCAAGCTGCCAAGTGTCTATTATTACAATTTAAATACTCACTCTCTTTGATGGCTTGTGTGTAGATGTCCACCCAAACCCTCATGTGGCGATAGGTGGAGCTTTTCAGAGGTGCCTGGATCTAGGGTGTATGATGCTGGGATTACATATGATGCTAGGATGAAGGGTGTATGATTACTAAATTAGTCCACTGATTAGTTTGGCATAGTTCTAGACGTGGATAACGGGAAGGCCCACCATGGATGTAAGAGCTACCTGCCCTAAGGGTATATAGCCTGGATAGAATATAAAGAACAGAAAGTAGGCTGCTATCCTCACTTGCTGCTTGCTGTTTTTGCTGCCTTCTGCCTGCCATTAACTCTTTCTTCTCTGTGATGCCCTTTGGCCATGTCACTTTGCCATGGAGCCAGCCGGTTATGAACTGAAATCTCTACAAACTGAGCCAAAATAAACCTTTCCTCCTTTAACTTTGGGTACTTTGTCTCAGAAATGAGAAAAGTAACTAAAACACCCTCCAAACTCTACAATATCTTTGAGAGAAGATGCATAGTATTTTCTGAACACCATCAGTTGGCTCACACAGTCCGGATGTTGGTGATATCTCCCAAGGTTGTAGGTAAAGCAGGAGGATCATGAATTTGAACCTAGCCTGGACTACTTAGCAGCTTAGCAAGCTACTACAAAAAATAACAACCAAAACAAAATTGGGGGAAGCTGCCTGAGATATAGCTCAGTGTGAAGGCTCGGTGTCAATCCCAAGTATTGTGGCGGGCAGGTCGGGGGGAGCTTGTAGGTCCTGAAATCCAAGGAATTTGTCAACATCAACTGTCTGAGTTCTTGGCTACTATAAATGCCCATTAGTCAGTTGAGAAATCTTCCTCCTTGCTCCATGCAAATAAACAGAAAAACCTTAACAGTCAGCATAGACCTGGACTAGATGCTTCCTCCCCACAGCTGCGAAAGGCTCAGATAAAATGGCAAAGCAAGGGGTAATGTTCTGTGCTGCAGTGTACGTAAAACCGATCTTATTTTTTTCTTTTTTCAAAATTTAACTGCAGGGGAGACAGCAGGAAGGCAACAAGTTCCCACCTCCCCACCGGCCTCGGAAAACAGCAGCGCAGCTCACAGCATCGGCAGCACACAGAGCACGCCCTGCTCCAGCAGCAGCACCGCCTAGCCACACCCAGCTGGGCCTCCACCCCGAGGGGAGAGGCTGACACTGATGCCGCACATCCAGATTCAGAAGGCTTGACTTGGGTTCCCTTGTAAAGAGAGAGTGAATTTCAGTGTAAAGATTACCTGTTATATTCACCCCTCATCATGGCCGATAGAAATATAACCCCTGGATCTCTGCAATGCACCAATTCATGTAGAAAAGCTAAGGTGGTGGCCTTCTCCACTGGCCCCGCCCAGGCTCGGGGGTTTTCAATGTGAAACACATGCCAGTTTTTAAAATGCTGCTTTGTCCAGGTGAGAACATCCATAATTTGGAGCCCTGAGTTTTACCTACACTCAAGGAAATGGTCAAAGGGTAATAGCTAGACAGTACACCCAGTGAGAAGTGGCCAAAGAGTCTTTTACATCTGAACCAAGATATAAAACAAAAGAAATGCTTCGAGGCTTTCTCATGCACCTCAATGCCTAATCTGCACCCCATCTGAATGACACTTCTGTGGCCACACTCGGTGGGGTCTGATGTGTGGCCTGCTGGGTGCTGCCCTCAGGGACTGCATCCCTCCACGTGTCAAGGCAACATTCCTTTCTTGTTCCCTGGGCCAAAACCAGTGCTGATTACCTTGTCAGCTTCTTTATCGCCCCCGCACGTGACACACACTGACTAGAAACATGTCTTAATGCAAATTTTGTCTTTCTTAGAGGTATGTAGAAATTGAAACTGGCCAAGATCTGGAACTGCAGATTTGTACACTTTTTGTTCTGATAAATTAATATCTAAATTGGGGCAAAATTCAGTCATAAAGTTGAGTCATTTTCAAGGTGATATATGTATATGAGTATGTAAGTACAAGTATATAATATGTCATCTGGCACATTCATTTCCTTAGTTGAAGTAATCAAAACAGTTGCAGTGGCAGTTGTGCATAATAGCAGCTACTTGCCAAGGTGGAAGGTTCACAAGTTTCCCTAGCAAGATCCCATGTTAAAAAAAAAGATGGAAAAAGATCCATTCCCATTTTGATAATGTCTGCTGCTTCCAGAGTTGGAACTTATTCTTAAGTAATATTTTGTAGAACGAGCATTTCCATTCAATACTCATCAACCTTTCTAATAAGCCCTCGTATGAAAAGCAAACTCTTATGAAATGTGAATGCCTGGTAGATCCTGTTGGATTCTTATTGGTGTCACCAGTTCTGCCAGGACACTGCTGAGCAGGGGGAAAGTGTATTCAATTGGTTTGCTTTTGTTCTCTTTCCTTAATGTATCCAAACTTAAAAGGATTTGAAGTGAATTTCGTTAAGTAGATAATACGATGTCACATTGCAGCTAAAAAACGCTCAGTGATACCCGTATGTTAAAAAAGAATACCAGAAGGGAATTTCCATGCCAAATCATTTACTACTGACATTGCACATTACATAGAATTCTTTTTCCATAGTCCTCCCCCAGCAACTTATTATTCCATAAATAGAACAGGTTAGATTCTGTCCTAAAACACTCAGAACCAAATTCCACTGCCTTTAAAATATAGCAGTTGTACCTGGTCCGCTGTGAATGGAACCCTACATAGGAAATGTTGATGAAACTCAGAACCTTAAAGCAGTGTCTACAAGGCCAACAGGTGGATAGAGATGGACAATCACTACTACACAGTCATTAAGAACCATTGACTGGATGGATGTAGACATTCGAATGGGATAATTTTAACCAAAGCAGACTATTTAGCAGCTGAGATTTCCAGGCTATCTACATTGATATATTGAACATTGTTTTTAGATTTTCATATACATATGAGGACAACACAAAACAAGGAAAATGTTTTCCTTTAATTTTTTAACATAAGGGTATCATAGCAGAGGGCCTAGATTACGCTACCTGTGTTTGAAAATAATGCGCTTTGCCTAACCTTCAGCAGAATGTATTGTTTTAGCATATTCTATGTATAAAAAAGTTTAAAGATGTCTTCAAAGAAGACTAGAGTCTTTAAGTCACTTATAGCTATATTTTACTACAAAAATTTGTGTATAAAGATATATTTAAGTGTTTTAGATAAATTTAAGTTACTCCATATGAAATGTTTAATTTCAGTTACTGTGAATTCTTCGATCAGTTCTTTCCTTTAAAAAAAAACCCTTTCCATCTTTTAAAAAGAAAATTAGCTATGAGGAAGTATTAAAAGATGCATTTCTTAGATGGTAGGGTTCAAAACTTCTGTAATATATTTAGATGTATATTTTTGAGAGAGTTCCTACAGTGCCAATGATTTTATAAATAATTTTAAATTAATTTACAAATTTATAGATGCAAGCCAAAATATTTTTTAAAAAGAGAAAAGAAAACAATCAGCCTTTATTTGTTTGGGTCTCATTGTCAGAAGTACTATTCACATAGAGAAATTCATATTAACAAAACTTAATCGTATATTGGAGAGTAAATATCCTTAAGTACTTTTTTTTAAATAGGGTGTTTCTCCCTAGCTTCTTGTTACAGCACTTCTGATTGCTTCATCCTCCACAGTTTTAATACAAAGTACAAGCTCTACTTTTATAACATGTTCTGCAAGTTTCTTTAAAACCGTTGTTATATTCCAGTTGAACTCCCTTCCATCAGCAAAGCCTAATGTTATTTCTGCAGTACACCCATAATCCACAAGGCCCATTTTGTATTTTGTTTGTTGATACTGAAGCTATTGTTGAAATGCTCTGAATTCCACCACAGATAATCTGTGTAACACCTCTAGCTTTCCACTGTGTAGGGTTCACGAGCTGTTCCTCTGTACTTTAAAAAGTCATCAATTTCTTCTGTGTAAGCTGTTTTTGTAGCATTTTCTGAACACAAAATGCTCTTTTCCTTGTCTGGCAATATGATTGTAAATCTATTTCCTGCGTGTTCTAGGCAGGTGTGACTGTGCGTGTGTGTGGGGTGCGTGTGTGCCTACCAGTCTTTTTGTACTGTAACTACCTCATGGTTTGAATGATGACTGCTTACTGCTGGTTGTGTTAACAGCACACATTTTGTTGGGCGAGTCCTAAGTGTGGTTTTTTCCTGTTTGTTTTATCTGGGGGTTGTTCATGATACTGACAGGTATTTTTCTAAAAATGACCATTATCAGTTTCAGAATACAATACTTCTCTCTTCTGGTTTTTCCTGAATGAGCCTGATTTTGTTGCTGTTTTTCATCACCTATGAGGGTAGAAAGAGTAACCCGAAAATCCCTGTGGCCAGTTTGAACACCCCTGTTGTAGTCTTTGTTTGGTGTGTCAGCAACTTTGTGAACGTGCTTAGATGTGTAGTCTTGATAACCACAGTTTTAAGTCCTTTATCTGTGCATAATAAAAAGATATATATCAATTATGAATATACGTCTTGTTTGGTCATCATTAAATTCTTCTTGCAGGCTGATATACCCTTTTCTCTCTGATTTACATTTTCTCTCCTATTTACATCGCCTGCATCAACTGTGCTGATGAGGGGAGGGTGGGCAGAGCAGAGGGAAAGAGCAGCTTTCTGGGCCTTCTGTCAGTCTCCTGGAGTCAAAGAAAGAAGTAATATCTATTACTCTCCACGATTTTCATCCCCTCCAAATAGCCCTGTGCTGCTTCCAGCATTTCCGACCTCGCTGTGGCAGTCTTCTTCCAGTTACTTAAGGCAGAAAACTAGGAATCTCATTGGAGCCTCTTTGGCCTTCCCAACCCAAATTAATAAGCCTATGTGTTATTTTTCCTCTAGAACATCTTTCTCTAAAGCCATGGACTGATTCCTACTTCTGCTGCTGCTACCCACTGCCCAAGAGCCATTATCTCGATCAGAATTTTTACTGCATAGCTTCTTAAGTCCTGCACCAACTGCCTGTCTTGTTTCTCTCTAATTCTTTCTTCGGCATAGAGCAAAACTAATACTAAAAACCCTCAAATCACATTATTTCCCAACTTGAGCCCTTTAAGAAATTCCTCAGTTTGGCTTCAGGATGATTCAAATGGGAATTATTGCCTGCAATCCCAGCTACTTCTCTCATCTCTCTGGGGCTCGGTTCTGTTGGGCGCACCCCTGCCAGATGTCTTCGCACTGCCGTATCCCTGTCTTCTCCCCTCTTGAGAGTTAGTGTCTTAGCTTTGATAGCAAGGCCAATGGCCACCTTTCACACCTTCCGTAGACAAGAGCCCACAGTGAGCAGGAACAGTAAGAGGAGATGGAGTCACATTCTGCCCGAGTGAGGTTGAAGTCATTACAGAGGAATCCTGCTGCTTTTCTGTGTCGAGATTGCCCCGGAGCCAGTTCCTCTCCTTATGAGGACACATGGGAGAAATTGGCCGGTCAGCTAATATTTCTGCCATAAACTCTCCTTGTACCTAGTGGAGCAAAAACCAAGGCCATCCACCAAAGGGCTTCTCCGAGGGTCTATGGACTGCCTAGAATTGGGTGCCGGAGTTAGCGTGCACGTGCTTGGGCTATGGTTACCGCTTTTGGTGGGAGAGTACATAGACTTTTTGTAGTTATATCCTCTAATTAAAAAAAAAACTCATTTTCTCTTGCTCACAACATACAATTGTGAAAAAAAATGTAAAAATATACACACATAGCAGTGAAAGAAACTCCTCCACTTTAGATAAAGCTATACTGATTGGTAATAAGTGTGTGTTCCCAGGCATCTCCTTATGTTCACATCGATCAGTACATGTCACTGTAGTAAAAAGATGAAGGTGTAACATTATAACTTGCTTTTTTCACAAGACACATCTTTCTCTCAGATCCTCTAACATGAGTACATCAGTGTCAGAATCAACCTACCTTAAGCTACCAAAATAAAACGTGGTTATTGTAGAAAGCAAAACAAAAATATTCTTCATAGCTACCTTTCCCAACCCCTCCAGTTGCTTCCCTGGAGGAACTGGTGTTAACAGCCTTGTGTTCAAACCGAGATGTATTGAAACATGTTCGTAAGTGAAGGGGTTCTTGTTTTGATTACTAAAAATGGAATCAGAGTAGCCACACTACAACTTGCCTTCTTCACTTAACATGGACCTCCCTCTAGTTTAGAAGGTACAGAACAATATGCTTTTTGATGGTTATGTACTATTTCCTGCACTGAATTCATCCTAATAACTATCAATGAACATTTAGAAATGTTATTTTCAGGTTTCTGCCAAGATACTCTATTGTAGTTTATATCCATATAGGTTTGTAGTATATAATTATCATATATATATATTTATATATCTCTTTGTGTTCTAGTGCTTTAAATAAAAAAATCACAAACTGATACTTTCATCACCATAGTGAGAGATTTTAACATAGTACATTTAGAAATTGTCTAATAGCTTTTTCTACTAGATACACATAGGGTCCTGTATCCCCAAAGTATTTTGACATGTAAAATATTTATAAAAATTGACCACTACTAGAAACATACTAGAATTCTTAGGCAATATTATCAAACTTAATGACACTGATTTAACCACAAACGCAAGTAGGTTAGAAAGTATAACAAGAATAATTTTAAATAATACAGTTAGAAATTTTGAAGTATTTCAAAATGATTCATGGTTTGAAAAACTCATAATGGAAGGTAGAAGGTATATAAACTTGAAAAACAATGGGAACACATTCAAACATGCAGCTGAAACAAATTATGAGAAATCAAAAGCTGTAAATTATTTATATTGGGAATAAAAAGTGGAAAGTGAAAGTATCAAATGGAACAAAATTATTGGAGATAGACAAAAGTAAAAAGAAACTCATGCATTAGGTATAAAAAAAAGGACACAACATGTATTGCAGAGATTTTAACAAGGGCTTACCTTAAATGACTTTATTCTAATAAACTACAAGTTGGACAATGCTGGCGTTATGTCAGTCGGGGTCCTGTAGGGTCAGCAGCAATGGACTTGGTTATACTGGTGTTGGGGCGGGGAGATAAACAGTGAGGAGAGGACACTGGCGTTAATAAATATAGGAAGAATCACCCCTAGAGATGGGATTATCAGAGTTAAGTAGGGAGCGACTTCCAAATTTCAATACTAACATCAGGCAGATAGAAAAGTGTGAACTGGGAATGGGGACACAAATCTTCTTAAATGGCACAGATAATTTCCAAAAGGGGAAAATGTAATTTACCAAAATGCATTGCAGAAGCAAAAGAAATTGGATATAAAAATTTAGCTATTAAGAAAAATTAAAATCTCACAAAATAATACAAAATTTTTAAAAACTTGCCAACCTCAGATTGTTTTACAAATAAGTTTTATTAAGTATAGATAATAAGATACTGGTGGGTTTTCTTCTTGTCTAGAATGGCAGGTCAAGAGAAATGAGATTTTTCTGCTTTGTTTTGATTTTTGAGACAGTGTCTTGCTGTATTATCCAGGCTGGTCTGGAACTTCTGAGCTCAAGCAGTCCTCCTACCTCAGCCTCCCAAGTGCTGGGACTACAGGTATACACCACTGTACCAGGCTATCAGGGAATGAATTCCTTGTTTGGGGTACTGGGGATTGAAACCAGAGCCTTCACACTGAGCTATCACTCGAGCCCCTTTTATTTATTTATTTATTTTTAAATTTTGAGAGAGATATCACTAGTGGCCTAGGCTGGCTTCTGATCTTCTTACCTTGACCATGCAGGGATCTGGGATTACAGAAGGATTAAGCTTTTGGTATCATTACATTCTCTAAGGTTTTCCTGAATCACCTGCCACTGGCAGAGTGTAAGAGTCCCCAGCTCCTTGGTCCATACTGAGCATACTGAAACAGCTCAGGCTCTATCAGACTGCATGGACTTGAATCTTGACCCTATCATTTGCTAGCTGAGCTGTGAAATCTACCTCTTAGCACTGTTGTGTTTAGTACATGAGAAAATCTACCTAAAGTTCTTAGGATAAAACAATTTATAAATAACATCTCTTGGGCTGGGGATTTAGCTCAGCGGCAAAAGCGCCTGCCTGGCATGCACAAGGTTGTGAGTTCGGTTCCCGGTACCGGAGAAAAACCAAAAAAAAAAAAAAAAAATCTCTTATTGTTACCAGCATTACATGTTTTAAATTCTGGCAATGTAAAATTTTATCTCATTACTTGAATTTGTATTCTCTGCATTGACAGTAAGTTTTAAATCATTATGATATAATTATTGATCCTTTCCAGGTCATTCTCTACATTGCCATTTTCTTTTACTCATTTTTCTAATGAGCTGTATTTCCTAACAATTTCTATGTAGGTGAAATTTGTTACCTGTCATCTATATAAATATTTTCTTCATATAGAATCACCTTTTCATTCTGTTTATAACTGATATTGCCAGGATAAACATTTTAACTTTTATGTAGTTGAATATGTTTATCTTTCCTTTTGGCCTCTGGTTTGCATGGTTTGCTTAAGATTCTCTAACTCTAGATATATTCTAATATTTTCTAAATTTTACTTTAATAGTAGAGATCATTAACCCATATTTTCACTTAGCATATGAAAGTGTCCATTTTTGTTGCTTCCAAATGATGATGGGTAGATTTATTTAAAAGTCATCAATTTCTTACTAAATCAAGCTTTAAAACAAAGGGTAGTAAGAGCCGAGTGTGGTGGTATGCATTTGTAATTCCAGCACTCTAGAAGGCTGACGATAGAAGATTGCAAGTTTAAACCCAGTCTAGGCAAGCTTGCAACTCAAGGAAACCTGTCTCAAAATAAAACAAAAATAAAAACTAAAATAAAGGGCTGGGGATGTAGCTCCGTATGGTGGCCCTGGATTCAAACTGAGTTCTGCGAGCAAACAAACAGCGAGGGTGGTCTGACCTTAAAAGGTTTTAAAATTTAGTATAAAATCATGTCAGAAAAATAGCATTGTATTAACATGGGAATAGTTAAACAGATTAAGTAGACACAAATAGAACAACCAGTTTTTTTGCGGGGGGGAATCTTGCCGTATGACAAGAAGTCATCTTTTTTATTAAACTCTTAAGTGATTCTATGACCTCAAAAAAGGTTATAATTCCAAGACTTATATAAGAGCTGTTGTCTGATTTTCACTGTAGCAAAACAGATTTGAATTTTCGCTGTTGTTCCAAAAAATTTAGAGTAAAGGTTGTCTGGTAAATAAGAAGCAGATCAATGTTAGTTCTGCTCCAAACTTTTCATGGTTCAGCATGGTGATCTCGATGGCTGGCTGCTACTCCACCCTCTTCCTTCCTCTCATAAATGTCTATGGAAAAAATCATTTCTAAGTCAAATATCAATTATAAAGTGATGGTTTCTTCTGCCACTTGTGAATGTTATAATTCTGTAAAAGAAAGAATTATTCAATGCCATTTTCAAGGAAAATATAAGCTTTTTTTTTTTTTTTTGGTTTCACAGTAAGCCTTAACTGTAGCATTGC